GTTTAGTGTGAGCTGAGCGTAGGTGTTCTGCAAAGCGGTCCCCAAGCCTCCGCTTGGTTTCCCCGATGTAGAGGAGGCCACAATGGGAACAGCGGATACAGTATACCACATTAGCAGATGTGCAGGTGAACATCTGCTTGATGTGGAAAGACTTCTTGGGGCGTGGGATGGGGGTGAGGGGGGAGGTGTAGGGGCAGGTGTAGCACTTCCTGCGGTTGCAGGGAAATGTGCCAGGTGTGGTGGGGCTGGAGGGGAGTGTGGAGCGGACAAGGGAGTCCCAGAGAGAGTGGTCCTTCCGGAAGGCAGATGAGGGTGGGGAGGGAAAAATGTCTTTGGTGGTGGGGTCGGATTGCAGATGGCGGAAGTGTCGGAGGATGATGCGTTGGATCCAGAGGTTGGTGGGGTGGTACGTGAGGACGAGGGGGATTCTGTTTTGGTTGTTATTGCGGGGAGGGGGTGTGAGGGATGAGTTGCGGGAAATGCGGAGACATGGTCGAGGGCATTCTCGACCACTGATGGGAGGAAGTTGTGGTCCTTGAAAAACGAGGACATCTGAGATGTACGGGGAGTGGAATGCCTCATCCTGGGAGCAGATGCAGCGGAGGCGAAGGAATTGGGAATAGGGGATGGCATTTTTGCAGGAAGGTGGGTGGGAGGAGGTGTATTCTAGGTAGCTGTGAGAGTCAGTGGGCTTGAAATGGATATCGGTTTCCAGGTGGTTGCCAGAGATGGAAATAGAGAGGTCCAGGAAGGTGAGAGAGGTGTTAGAGATGGTCCAGGTGAACTTAAGGTTGGGGTGGAAGGTGTTGGTGAAGTGGATGAACTGTTCAAGCTCCTCGTGGGAGCACGAGGCGGTGCCGATACAGTCATTGATGTAACGGAGGAAGAGGTGGGGGATAGGGCCAGTGTAGGTATGGAAGAGGGATTGTTCCACGTAACCTACAAAGAGGCAAGCATAGCTTGGGCCCGTGCGGGTACCCATGGCCACCCCCTTTGTCTGTCGGAAGTGGGAGGAATTGAAAGAGAAGTTGTTGAGGGTGAGGACAAGTTCGGCTAAGCGGATGAGGGTGTCAGTGGAGGGGGACTGCTTGGGCCTGTGGGACAGGAAGAAGCGGAGGGCCTTTAGGCCATCTGCATGGGGAATGCAGGTATATAGGGACTGGACGTCCATGGTAAAGATGAGGTGTTGGTGACTGGGGAATTGGAAGTTTTGGAGGAGGTGGAGGGCATGGGTGGTGTCACGGACGGAGGTAGGGAGGTCCTGGACCAAGGGAGAGAAAATGGAGTCGAGATAGGTGGAGATACGTTCGGTGGGGCAGGAGCAGGCGGAGACAATGGGTCGACCAGGGCAGTCAGGTTTGTGGATTTTGGGAAGGAGATAGAAGTGGGCGGTGCGGGGTCGGGGAACGATGAGTACATCGCCGAGGCCATGCGCCAACTCTCCGACACCACCTCCTACCGCCCCCTTGATCATGACCCCATCCCCGACCACCAAACCATCATCTCCCAAACCATCCACAACCTCATCACCTCAGGTGACCTCCCACCCACAGCCTCCAACCTCATCGTTCCCCAACCCCGCACCACCCACTTCTATCTCCTTCCCAAAATCCACAAATGTGACTGCCCTGGTCGACCCATTGTCTCCGCCTGCTCCTGCCCCACTGAACTTACCTCCATCTATCTCGACTCCATTTTCTCCCCCTTGGTCCAGGAACTCCCTAATTACGTCCATGACATCACCCACGCCCTCCACCTCCTCCAGAACTTCCAATTTCCCGGTCCCCAACACCTCATCTTTACCATGGACGTCCAATCCCTATACACCTGCATTCACTATACAGATGGCCTAAAGGCCCTCTGCTTCTTCCTGTCCCGCAGGCCTGACCAGTCCCCCTCCACTGACCCCCTCATCTGCTTAGCCGAACTCGTCCTCACCCTCAACAACTTCTCTTTCAATTCCTCCCACTTCCGACAGACAAAGGGGGTGGCCATGGGTACCTGCATGGGCCCAAGCTATGCCTGCCTCTTTGTAGGTTACGAGGAACAATCCCTTTTCCGTAGCCACACTGGCCCTAAACCGTACCTCTTCCTCATTGATGACTGTATCGGCGCCGCCTTGTGCTCCCACAAGGAGCTCGAACAGTTCATCCACTTCACCAACACCTTCCATCCCAACCTTAAGTTCACCTGGACCATCTCTGATACCTCTCTCTCCTTCCTGGACCTCTCTATTTCCAACTCTGGCAACCACCTGGAAACCGATATCCATTTCAAGCCCACCGACTCCCACAGCTACCTAGAATACACCTCCTCCCACCCACCTTCCTGCAAAAATGCCATCCCCTTTTCCCAATTCCTTCGCCTCCGCCGCATCTGCTCCCAGGATGAGGCATTCCACTCCCGTACATCTCAGATGTCCTCGTTTTTTAAGGACCTCAACTTCTCCCCTTCAGTGGTCGAGAACGCCCTTGACCGTGTCTCCTGCATTTCCCGCAACTCATCCCTCACACCCCCTCCCCACAATAACAACCAAAACAGAATCCCCCTCATCCTCACGTGCCACCCCACCAACCTCCGGATCCAAAGCATCATCCCCCGACACTTCCGCCATCTGCAATCCGACCCCACCACCAAAGACATTTTTCCCTCCCCACCCTTATCTGCTTTCCGGAGAGACCACTCTCTCCGGGACTCCCTTGTCCGCTCCACACTCCCCTCCAGCCCCACCACACCCGGCACATTTCCCTGCAACCGCAGGAAGTGCTACACCTGCCCCTACACCTCCCCCCTCACCCCCATCCCATGCCCCAA